AGATTTACATTAATTTATCATGATTCCTCATCTAAAACATTAGAAGCAAAGGTTTTCCTTTATACACTACTGTGTTGCTGTCATTTGTAATAATGTCCACCACACAAATAGGAGCTCAATAACATTTAATTAAGCAAATTAAATATCATCACTTGGCTATTAGCTACATATTTCTAGTATGCTTGAAGTTGTGCAGAGGAATATAGTGTCGTTAAAGATCTTTTATTACAGAGGAGATAAATATCTTAATTAACAAATATCCAAGCATTTAATCCCATCATTTTATGTGTGAACCCAAATTATTCTTTTAGTTAAAGAAATGCATGAGGCAACAGGATTCTTTTCCCTGTTAGAATCATTAATATTTTTAAATCTGAATTTATATAGAAGGCTTTATTTTTTTCCATTGCCTAGAGCTTGCCTTCTTCAGAGGAAGCAATAAGACATCCATGTAAGGATGCTTACTGGTAGGACTGGAGCAGAGCAACCTCTGAGGAAGATTTACCCTTGAGCTCTATTCTGTGCCATTGACTAGAATCACTGGCATGAACATATGGTCTGTCCACCAGAGGTAGCTTTTGCCTCATCAACAAACATATAGATATTTGCTCACTGCTGCCTCCTGTGATTATAAATATGTGTGTAAGATGTTTTAGCCATGACTTTAATTAACTATACAAACTAGTCCTAAGGATTCTTCAGCATCTAGAGGAATAGTTAAGGCATGAACAAAAACAACCCAAAGAGAATGTGCACGTGTAAAGAAATTCACATTGAAAACATTTGAAACTATCCATGGCAGCTCTGATTATGAAAGGAAAAATTGAAACAAACTAGTGATGTTCATGTGCATGTTACTTCTCCTATTTCAAGAGATGAAGACACTGTTGCTTGCTATACTTGGTTCAATCGAGGTATAAACCTAAAATTCTTACTCTACAATCATTGTGGATTTGGGGGTTTGAATGAGTCTTCTTAAGCTTGTAGTTATTTATAGAGAAAAATTATTATGCATCTTTTATACACCAATAAGGTCTTTGCCCCCAGAGCACAAAGATTATTAAGGCATAGTTGTTACTTCCCAAGGAAAATATGATGAATATAAACCAACTTCTGTCTCTAAAGATTTTGCAGCCCCATTGGGAAAGATAAATATTAAAAATATTTTTTCCTGATACCATAAGTATGATAATATGATGTTCAAAATATATAGCAGGTCCTTCAGGCTTGAGAGTATTAGAAATGGCTTCCAAGGAGAATTGTACTTGAGATGATTCACAAAATAAGTGAGAGTTATGCAAATGAATGGATGCCTGGATGCAAAAACAGCATTGTTGTTCATTTCATATGATGTTTCAGAGTCCTGGAGTGGGGAAGAATGAGAGAGGCAATGGAGCTCAAAGTAGGATAGATCTCCATAGGCTTAGAAGAGGTCAGATATTTAGAAAGTGAGCATCCTGTTCAAGGTAAGATTGTGTCATGAATGGATGTTAAGAACCACAGGACTGAAGTCAGAGAAACCAGTTGGTAGAGGTAAGTAATGATTTAATAGAGGGACAAGCCTTCTTATCCCTCTTACTTAGCTGAAGTAGCAAAGATATGGAAGACAGCACATATATGAAAACAGATCAGGCTAATCAGCAAGCAGAACAGAATGTTTTAGTTTATTGGGGCATGAAGAGTAAGTGAGCAGAAAGTTATTCAAAGAATTATAAATAGCTGGAATGGATTTGAAATCCTTGTTCAAAATATTGCTACTTACCTTACCTGACTTATTTAGTGAATTATACATGACCAGCTGTTGACACTAGCTTTTTATCATTTCAGTCATTGATCTGGGAACAGAAGTCTTTTTCTTAAATTTTACAAAGTTATTTTAATGTGTTGCATTATGTAACATTATAGGTGAGCAATGACTCCAAAGGGTCTGTTGAAGACCCTTTAGTCTATGTCCTCAAAGAAAATCCACAGCCTTGGTACAGAACCACCATGTGTCTCGGAACATTCATGTAGATTGAGAAAGAAACAAGCTTTTGATGGCATCATATAATGCTGCTTTGGGAACATGTATTTCTTTAGTATACCTTAGCCTCATTAATTCCACAGCTATCCTTAATATTTGTCTGAAAATAAGTAATTGCCTAAACAACTTACTGAGGAGGAAATAGGGTGAGCTGAGTGGGAAGGTAAAATACATGAATGTTGAAATCAAGAGCAGAATTATAAATGATCAGGTGACAGATACAGAGGACACTGACTTGGGTAACTGCAACAAGCAAACAAAAAACAAGTTTTTACCTGAAGCCAGAATGAGCATAAGATTCAAAAGGGAAAGGTCTTGATTCCTGTGACAGCATTGGAATTTAAAGAGCAGCAAAGAGCAGCTAGAGGAAGGTAAAGACTTACGTAGATCTTCTGGGAGATGCTAATGTGTCTTCAGAAGTATCTGCATCTTATATATAAGTAGACATAAAACCCAGTATGAATACCAATTACTGGTAAAATTTTGCTTGGCCAATTTGCATCATTAGGCTGTCCCTATAATCCACTGAACACTTGACACTACAAAAGGCAGTTTGGACATTTTAAAACTGTAAATCTACAGTGAAACCAATGGAAGGAAAAGCTGCCTAAGAAAATGAATGCATGAAAAATCTCTTTCCAAGAGAAGTTCCATTTCTACACACTGCACTCTCCTGTGTGCTAGAAGCAAATTTATCAAACACAAACTTCAGATATTATAAGATAATTGAGGTGGAATTTTGCTTAGAATGCCACCTGAGGACTGGACTTTTAACAATAGAAATGGAACCAAAAACAACTGCAATGTGAAAGCCTGGAAAGAAAATAACTACTCAAAATTCCATGGAAGGAAATAAACAGGAGAACTGTATGACAGTCCCACTGTAAAAGAACATAGAGACTCCAAGAAGGATTTCACTGCTGACATGGTGAAATGCTGTGAGAAAAGTCAAAGAACAGAATAACTACACATAAGGTTAGGAGAAAAAATTTTAAAACAACTTGTATTAAGTAAGAAAAATTTGAGTTAAAGAATAATTTTATAATCCATTACCTGCTTGTGCTAGCAAATATTTACATGACAATAAAATGTGAATAAAGATAGTCCACATTTACCTACATCCTTCTGTATAGGTAGAACTGATAATGGTGCATTGGAAGGTAACTCGGTGCAAGCATTGACCAAGTTACCAGTTCTGAATGTTTGCCTCTCTTTCTTCCCAAGTTTCTAGAAGATTATGTGAATCTCCAGCTCTGTACCTGTGTGCAAGCTCTGAGGTTCTCCTTGTCAACTGATGTAAAGTACCTTTACTTTGTGTAGGCCACCTATCCATTTCTTACTTAAAAATATAGATTTTCCTACCTTCTGAGCTACCAAGATTTTTCACCTGTGTTTAAATATATCTATGCATTTTAACTGACATGTGCTTGGATGCATGAGTACAAGAATGTACTTCTATTTTAAAATCACATTTATTGATATCTACCTTTTAGGTTTAATTTACAAATACTCACCTCTTTGCATTTATACTAACCTCCTTATTCTTTACTTTATCTCTTTTGCCCTGCCCCTAGGGCTTATTTGACATGATGTATACTAATTGGCTAATTTGTTATGTATGTTTTATCATTTCTTACTGAAAAAGAAAAAATATCCTGAAGCTAACAACTTTTTATAGAGCTATCTCACTTATAAACAACATCTAAACATAATATTCAAAAAGTAGACACATAAGATGAATAAACGAATGAATTGAGTTAAATCTTTTTGAAAGTGTGGTTTTGTTATCATTGAAATTAGCAGTAATTAAGAAGTTGTATATAGAACAGGATCAGAAAAATAAAGAAAATTATATTTCTTTGGGTCTGGCTTACTTCATTTCATATGATTTTTTCCAACTCTTTCCATTTCCTAATAAATGGGGCACTGTCATTCTTTCTGATGGAAGCACAGAATTCCATTTAAATGGAATTGATCCATTCAAAGTAACATAGGTGCCATGGTTAACCTCATTTGCAATAATTAGTATACGTCTAGGATAATTTTACCCAATGAGCAGAAAAGCTCAAAAGCTATATATGTATGACCATATAAGATGATGCTAAGCAAAATGAACCCCTAGATATGGACACAAAAGGTCTTTCTTAGTTTTTGTTGCTGTTAATATACTAAGTGATTTTTTTTCCTTTGTATGTTCTTCCCTCTGTTGTCACTGTCCTTGACTCTGGTACCCTGCATCTTGTATATACATTTGTCTAATTTGGGGAGAGGAAGGAGAATAAGAAAACGGCTGAAACAAAGACACAGAAAGACTCACTGCAACAATGATACCCACAAGACACTATACTTGAAATGAACTTTACAACTTTGTGGTGGGGGGGGGACGAATAAGGGAAGTGGGGGAGGAGAAGGAATAATGGGAGAGCAACAAAGAAGAGGGTAACAATGTTCAACAAGACAGGTACTCATTACCCTACTCATGTAACTGTAACCCCTCTGTACAGCATCTTTACAATAAAATAAAATTTAAAAAAAAAGAAAATTATAGATGCATTGATATTCGCAGCACAAAAATAACAATTATCGATAGTGTGCATAGTTGAGGGGAAGAAAAATAAAGATATAAATAAGTATAGTTCTTTGTGTGGCCACGTTAACCAACACAGGAACACGTTATTTAATGGTGTAGTGATATTAGAATGTAGAACTTATTTCCTAAGTGAGTTAAGTTGTCTTCTGTTATAATAAGAAGCTAATACATAATGTTTTTTGCTGCAAAAAGCTTTATTTTCATTTGGTCCAAGGCTTGGGAAGGGCTCCAGGATGGTTAGTTAGGAAGTTTCCCAATGGCTAGCGGCAGACGCTTGTCCAGAAACCCTGATGTCTGGCGAGGCAGAGATGGCCCCTCAAAGGCTGCTGGACTCTGGAGTTTTCTAGTCGTGTTTGAGGGTGAAGCGTTGGAAAAGATCCTTGCCCAGCTGGGCTTGAGGGGCCCCCAGCCTGCGAAGGTTGGTTCAGTGGTCGCCCATCTTCTTGATGAGCTTCACCTCTTCATCCAGGAAGTGGTTCTCTAGGAAGTCACAGAGATGGGGGTCTGTGCGAACAGAACCCAAGGCATGAAGATCCACAATGGCTTGGTTCAGGCTCTTCTCCAGGGCCAGGGCGGCTTCCATGGCTTCCACGGTTTTACCCCACTCGTCCTGAGAAGGTTTCTGCACATCCTGGTTCTGCATCTTCAGGAGGCGCTGTGCGCCCTCGCAGTCCAGACCCATATCCTCGCAATCGAAATAGTAGCCCAGAGAGAGGCAGGTGTAGGAGGCCCGCAGATGCAAGTTGACCAGGCGGTTGACGGCAACCTCCACCTCGGTGGAGTAATTCTGACGAATCTGGGAGGTCATGGCTGGTCGTGGATACAGAGCTAACCACAGGAAAACATGGCTTTGGCTGGTCCTGGAAGCAGGCGACGGGGAGAAGATCAGGGTCAGAGGCGGTGAGTGGAGAGGCAGTTGGTGGTGGAAAGGAGGAGTCCCCGTCCAAACACTGTTGAAGCAAGACACAGATCCGCGGGACTGTGCGCGCTGCTGCTCAATACATAAAAATCTTAAAAAAATTTACCAGAAGATATATTTCAGAGATCAGAACTGCCTACAAAGACCACAACTAGTGACTGGCAGTATTGAGACCATTGACTGGCATGTTTGGTTCTTTACCAACCCTTTGTAAGAGCTGATGCATTTTTTACTCCATACATACTTCATTCAGTAAACATTGAGTAATGTTGTTAAATAGGAAGATGTACCAAGATAGATATCAGGGGTTAAATTACATGGAAAAATAAGGAAAGAAAGATATCTTTTTAAAACACCTGGTTTTGTATTGCTTTTGCAACTAATGTTAATGTTTGATAAGGTTTAAAAATCTGAAAATATGCTATTTGTATTATTTATGGTTAAATTGTGTAATGAGTTATAAAATATTGTCCTAGCAATTTTGTAAGTACTATTTTTCTTCCAAGATGAAAGTAGGAATAATGAACTATTTTTCGAGCACTGAAAACACTATTATTCATAGGGCCAGGGACAAAGCAATAATATTGAATCTTTCCTAATGAAACCAAAGATCCATCTCTTGTCATAAAAATAAGATTTATTTCTACTAGAAATCGAGGGTTAATTTTTTTTATTGTGAAAATACCGTACAGAGGGGTTACAACTACATGGACAAGATAATGAGTACATTTCTAATCAAGCATTGTTGCCTCCTCCTTTATTTCCCCTTCCCACCCATCCCATATCCCCCTCCTGCTCTCCCTAACTGATCCTAACCCTCCCTCACACACACACCAAAGTTGTAAAGTTCGTTTTTCAACATAATGATTTGTACATCTCATTGTTGCAATGGGTCCACCTGTATCCCTATTTAAACGATTTGTTTTTTCCTTTCCCCTCCACAAATTATACCAATATCAAATACAGTGAAAGCAGGGGTTATACTGTGGGGGAGGGACATACAAAGCAACAAAGAAATCATCTTATAAATATGTTAGAAACAATTGCATGAAAGAAAAAAAAACATTTGAATATTTATCTTAGGGTTCATTTCCCTAACATCAACTTATCTGACCTATTCTGCTTGACTCAGACATACATTGGTTATTGCAAATAAGGGAAACCATGGGGCCTATGTTTCTTTGGGTCTGGCTTACTTCACTTAATAAAATTTTTTCCAAGTTTTTCCATTTCCTAACAAATGGGGTAATGTCATTCTTTCTGACGGAGGCACAGAATTCCATTGTGTATATATACCACGTTTTCTTGATCCATTCATCTACTGAGGGGCATCTGGCTTGGTTCCAGATCTTAGCTATGGTAGATAATGCTGCAATAAATATAGTTGTGATGGTAGCTTTAGTGTGGTGTTGCTTGTGAACATTTGGGTAAATGCCCAAAAGTGGGATTACTAGGTCATAGGGGAGCTCTATGTGAAGTCTTTTCAGGAACCTCCATACTGCTTTCCAAAGTGTTTGAACAAGTTTACACTCCCACCAACAATGTAGTAAGGTTCCCTTCTGCCCACATCCCCTCCAGCATCTGTTGTTATTAGAGTTCTTGATTATAGCCATTCTAACTGGGGTGAGGTAGTATCTCAATGTTGTTTTGATTTGCATTTCTTTTATGGCTAGGGAGGTTGAGCGTTTCTTCATGTGTCTATTGGCCATCCTTCTTTCCTCTTCAGAGAAATTTCTAAGTCTTTAGCCCACTTATTTATTGAGCAGTTGTTTCTTTCAAGATTTGTTGTTGGGGGATTTAATTTTTTGAGTTCCAGGTATATTTTAGATATGAGACCCTTGCCCATTGTATGATCTTCATGAGGATTAATTTTTGTATAAAACTTTTTCTTAAGGAATTATCCTTCATTTTCCTTAACGAAAATGACTTTTTAAAATTTTTATTGTAGGAAGTGGTGCTGTGGCTCGCCTTGAGCTGAAGAGGGCAGGGACAAGGCCCTGGCCATGAGTTCAAGCCCCACGACCAACAACAACAACAACAAAATTATTGTAAAGATACTGTACAGAGGGGTTACCATTACATGAGTAAGGTAATAAGTACATTTCCTGTCAGGCAGTTACCCCCTCCTTTGTTTTTCCCCTATTATTCCTTCCCTCCCAACTCTCCAACTCCTCCTTCCTGCCCCCCTCTGCTTCAAAGTTGTAAATTTCATCTTCAATCTAGTGTCTTGTACATACAAGATACAGGGCACCAGAATCAAATTCAGTAACAACAGGGATTATACCATGGGGGAAGAACATACAAAAAAAATCACATAGTACATAATGAGCAGGAAAGAGGGAACAGCTGACACTAAGCAAAAGGAAAGAAATGTACATATCACCCGATGTGGAAGAAATAACTGTATTGTCAAAGCTCATAGAACTCATAAACTTTATAGATCACGATAAAGACAATTTGCCCCATGAAGGTTAGAATGTGTTTGTGACTTTAACTAAGTATCACTATCTCACAATACTGTGACATTTATGTATTCACTTAATCACAATAAAAAAAATTGCTATTAAAACCAACAGTGACAAAGCAAAAACCTATTTTGACCAAATATTGGGGTTCATTTTGCTTAGAATCATCTTATATGGTCATATGTACATACCTTTTGATCTTTTCTGCTTGTCTGGTTAGATTATCCTAGACATATACTAGTTATTGCAAACAAGGGAAACCTTGGAACCTATGTTTCTTTGGGTCTGGCTTACTTCACTTAATATAATTTCCCTAAGGGAAAAAACTTTAAGACATTTGTCATGATACACCAGAGATGTCGATGAGGGTTTCTAAGAGAAAACTCATGAGAGTTTTGTAGGTGGAAAGATAATATGCCTTTGAGGCCTGTTTCTCCCATTTGTATACATCATTAAAAAAGAGAATGTTGTTATGACAACAGCCAACTACATCAATATTACAATTTATTGACCTGTTCTTGATCTATCTTATAGAAAGGTCTTTTCTGACTGTATTCTCTGATGCATCTAAATGCCAAGGTGGTAAGAATTCACTGTAATCTCCTTCACAATTTATTTCATTATTGAAAGCTTTAGTAGAATCATGAATACTTAATGGCACTATAGAAAAAAATAGACTTTCAAATATATCTCAAAATTGCCAAAGAAAATGCTTGGATGGAAACAACGCAGTTTCCAAAGTGAAAAACTTTTGTTGAATAAGTGCACAGACAGCTGTTTTCAGAAAATCACATTCCCCTCAGTCCCGAGTGAGACATGTTCTTACACATCACAACATTAACAGTCACATTGTGTTACTTGATTTAGTGCAACATAATGCAGTGTGACTAATGCAACCCAATGGTACCGATTCATGTAAGAGAAAAATCTATTGCCTAGGAAATGTGAAACAAAGATGCATCTCTAAAAACAAAGGTTAAATAGATCAAAGTCTCCCGCAGAAGGAAGCATCATGCAACACATACGAGTTTTATTCCAAAACATTTCAATCTACCATCGCAACAATCCCTGGGTAAGCTAGAGAAAGGATTAGGCATCAAACATGAAAAGCCCTTAAGCTGTTTCAACTCAAGTACTTGGTGCTTCCACAGTATTTCCCTCTGCAGTACCAATTTTCTGAAGCAAGAGCCTTTTCATCACTCTTATTATGCATTGCCCAGTTGACTGTTAGAAAAGCCCACTTGACAACCTGCTATCTCTTCCTCAAGAGTATTTTTCAAAATGTCCTGGGCATACTAAAGAGATATCAGAAAGCAAGTTTTAAAGTGCCCCATTCAAGAACCAGTACCTGAAAAGAAAGGGTGAAATTGGAGATGGCAAGAAGCCACCAGAGTCCTCTGGGTATTGGTTGTGTCTACTCATCTACATGCACTGGGTAGTTCTGTATCTATCTGATAATATGCCTTGGACAGATAACAAAGGCAAAGGATTGGACCTTGTAGCTAATATTTTGAAATTGGGTGAATTGCCATTTTATCTCTCTAAAGGTTGTCCTAAGAAGTTTAAGGAAGAACAAGTCCTACAGGTGTATTTAGACTATACTTCCAACAACCAAGTCACTATCATTCCATGTAAGATGTAAATGGGAGAGCTGCTATTTTAATAAACAGCCACTTGATTTAAACTTATGTGTTTGTATCACCTAAAGAATATATTGTACCTATTGTTTAAATAGGGATACAGGTGGACCCATTGCAACAATGAGATGTACAAGTCATTATGTGGAAAACGAACTTTACAACTTTGGCGTGAGGGGGAGGAGGCTTGTTGGGATGGTGAGGGGGAGGATGGGAAGGGATGGGAAGGGGAAACAAAGGAGGAGGCTACAATGCTTGATAAGAAATGTACTCATTATCTTGCCCATGTAATTGTAACCCCTCTGTATAGTATTTTCACAATAATAAAAAGAATATATTTGTAGCACTAGAAATTCTCAATATTGGCCAGGTGCTGGAAGCTTACATCTATAATCCTAGCTACTCAGGACTGAGATCAGAGGATTACAGTTCAAAGCCAATTCAGGTAGGAAAATCTGTGAGACTCTTATCTCCAATGAACCACCAAAAACTGGAAGTAAAGCTGTGGCTCAAATAGTAATGTACTACTTTGAGCAAAAAAGCTCAGAGACAGCACCTAAGTCCTGAGTTCAAGCCCCAGGACCATCACACACACACACACAAAACCAAATATTCCCTAAAAGACAAAGACTTTTTTTTTGCCGTTCGTGGAGTCTGAACTCTAGGCCTGGGCTCTGTCCTTCAGCTCTTCAGCTCATGGTTAGCACGCTACCACTTGAGCCACAGCACCACTTCCAGCTTTTTCTGCTTATGTGATGCTGAGGAATCGAACCCAGGGCCTCATGCATGTAAGGCAAGCAGTCGACCACTGAGCCACCTTCCTAGCCCTAAGACATA